CCCCCGCGGGGCTGTGTGAACTGACCAGACTGTGTGACGAGCCCGGCTCAGCAGGCTGGCTTCGCTGGTCGTGTGCTTACTGTGTGCCAGGCACTGTGCACAGTAATTACTACTAAATACTTCGTCCGCACAGCAAGCCCATGGGATGGGATTTTACTGCGATCCCCTGGTAATAGCTGGAGCCCAGAAAGGCTGAGTGACTTGCCTGAGGCCACACCGCCACAGAGATCTGGGAGGTTGCTCCTGGTCCTTGTTCATAACTGCTGACAGTCTGTCCCTGGGGGTGTCTGCAGATCTCACGGCCCCCCATGTGGGCTCAGCCCTCGCCCCTGGCCTTCCTGCCAACCGCCAGCCCCTCGCCACTTTCAGGCCTTCACATGGGCTCCCCCTGCCGGTCAGCTGTTCTGGTGCCCTGGTGGCTGCTGGTGATTCCTCTCAGGGAGTGCCACACCCCCGGGCAGTGCAGCACCAGCGCCAGCGTGTGGGGTGCTTTCCTGCCTCTTTGTGTCACCAGCCAGTGACCACCGCTGCGAGCTTTCTTAGCTGGTGAATGATTGTTTTCATTTGAGGGATATCTGCAGCTCCTTAGAAAGAAAAACAAACTATCAGCAGGGTTCTTTGGGTTCACAAGTAACAAAGGTGCCTGAGCCAACACAAGCAATTATTCAGGCACTGTGAGGACTCGGCTGGATCTCGGGAGACTAGGGTGGGGGAGGGTCTTCAGGCAGGGCGGGGCTGACACACTCCTCCTCTGTCCACTGTCTCTTTTCTACACAACCAGCTTTGTCCTTTTTTAAAAAGATTCATTTATTTATGTATACAAGAGCCGGAGTGGAGGCCAGAGGTGTGGGGGTGAGAGGATTCCCCAGAGACAGAGTGGGGAGCAGAACAGGCAGATGCACTGAAACACACTGCTGAGGGGAGCAGCGGGGAGACAGGAGGTCTTCTGTGCCCGGTGGGTCCCTCCCTGGATGGAGACCGAGCTGGTGCTGCAGTGGCTGGCCATAGCTCGATGGCTCTGTGTCTTTAACAGAGGAGGTGCCACCAGGGAGGGCCCTAACCAGCTTTGTCCTTTTTCACTGTCTTTCGAGATGTCTGTTTCTACCACTCAGAGACTCCTTACTCTTCCTGTGTAGGGTCCAATATTAAAATCTGGAGGGAGAGACTGTATCCCCTTAGCTTGGGCTTGGGGTCTGCCCTTGCCCTTGGTGGCCAGAGGGATCATGGGTAGCCCCTGGGGAGGGTGGGCTTCTCCCCGGAGAGGGGCTGGGCGATTAATCCGGTGGGCTTGATTCCCCAGCTAGATGTGTAAGTGACACTGGGTTTTGGTCTCAGGAGGGCTGTGCTGCCCAGTTGCAAATTAGAAAATGGTGCTCATCACACTGGTGAGCTGGGCAGGGCCTGGATTTCAGTGCCCGCAGGCTGGAGCCGACCTCGACTGCTCGTGGCTTCAGCTGTCAGTGATGGGTCCGGTCTAATCTGGCAAAAAGTGTTAGCTATAAACCGTACAAACAAGCGCAGCGACAATTACAGTGTCGTTACCACGGCGACAGGCGCCTGCCCCGTGGCGCCATCACTTGATGACACCAGCCTTGCTTTGCTGAAGGCCCACTGTGCGCCAGGCACTGTGTTCGGCGGCTCCCAAGAGGCTTAATCTTCTTCCACTTTTTCCCCTACTGAGGCAAACTCAGCGCCAGGAGCACACCCACGGCCCCGCAGGTGCAACCTTGCGCCTCTGCCGCCTGCTCAGTCAGGGTCGGTGGGCGCAGCGCCACAGGGCATCCTCTGCGTGCCAGCCAGGGCTTCCCAGGAACCCCTCACCCCGCCTCTCTCCGCAGGGCGTGAACCTGTCCGGGGGTCAGAAGCAGCGTGTGAGCCTGGCACGGGCCGTGTACTGCAACTCCGACGTCTACCTCTTCGACGACCCCCTCTCAGCGGTGGACGCCCACGTGGGGAAGCACATATTCGAGAACGTGATCGGGCCCAAGGGGATGCTGAAGAGCAAGGTAGCTGCGGGGGGCGGGTGTGGCTGTCTTGCTCTTGAGCTTGGCATGTGGCCGCTCAGGGATCTTTCCCTCTTCTGGCTGTCTACACGCCGGCTGGTGCGTGTTTCTAGTGCACACACCTCTCTCAGGGTCCTGGGGCCACCGCACCCCTTGGCCAAAGATGGCCTCTCCCTGACCGCCTGGCAGCCCTACCCCACCCCCTAGGGGCATGTGGCCCCCCCTGACCTGCCAAGGTGGCTGTGGGCCAAGGGAAGGAGGTTCAGAGCAGAGAGCCCCAGCACCTTGACTTCACAGCTCCCTGTCTTGATATTTTTCTGTTTGATATTGAGGGGAAACTCAGGCAAAGTGAGGGGAAGTCCTGAGTGTTTCTTCCTAATTTAATAAAACAGCACACGTCACGGGTGCTTCAGAAAAGCAGGAGGAACCATCAGTACTTGTAAATCTGTAAAGGTTTCTGTTTCCTTTAAGACTTTTTGCTGTGTAAGCAGCCCCTGACCAGTGGTGAGCTTTCCCACGGACGCCACAGAAAGTCGGTGTGGGCATAATTGAAAATTTTTCAGAACAGTATTTTTTAAGTTGTTAAAGCGATACAATAGGTCTGTAGGAACACAACCTGGGTAACGACAAAAAAGCAACAATGGCCCTCCCTGGTGGCACAGGGGGTTAAAGCGCAGCAGTGAGAAGCTAAAGCCACTTCCGCATGAGTTCGATCCCCGCCTGCCCCGGAGGTGACCACAGGGCGTAGCAGACCTCTCCTGACCTACCCATTGCTCCCCTCAGCAGTGTACTTCATCCATCTGCCTGTTCTGCTCCCCGCTCTGTCTCTGGTGAATCCTCTCACCCTCCGCATCTCTGGTCTGTACCCCAGTTCTGTACAAATAAATAAATAAATCTTTAAAAAACAACAACAACGAACAATCACCCCTCTCACCCTGCGCCCCAGACGTTCTCTGGAGAGCAGGACCAGTGCACCTGGCCAGCTGCACCTGCCTTGTGTGGCCTCGCCCAGGGTGCTGCCAGTATTGTCTTTTTTATTTTTTAAAAGATTTATTTATTTATACACACAGAACTGGGGTACAGGCCAGAGGTGCAGGGGTGAGAGGATTCATCAGAGACAATGGGGAGCAGAACAGGCAGATCAATGAAGTACACTGCCGAGGGGAGCAGCGGGATGACAGGAGGGGTCTGCCGCGCCATGTGGGTCACCCCCTGGCCAGGGATGGGGCTCGGGCCACAGTGGCTATGATGGCTGATAGCACCAAGACTTAACCCTGATGAGCCAGCAGAGAGGCCCCGTGGCCTATGGAACACCGTCCACTGCGTCCCCTGCAGGTGGAGCTCTGACAGGACACCGCCCTGGCGTCCGATCGTGGCTGCGCTCACGCCGCAGTGACAGGCTGAGCCGGAGCGTCTAGCGTCCCCGAGGCTAAAAATGTTGAGCAGTCCCCCTGGAGGAAAGGCTCTACCAGGGCCCACGTCTCACGCATGCCCTCCAGGGCCTTTAGTACTGATAAAGCGAACAGGAACTGCATTTCCTGGGGCGCTTCTACTTACAAAAAAACAAAAAACAAGCCCCGAGCTGCTGTTCGCTGTTGGGGGCAGGGCTCTTACTCATCCCCACCTGCTTTCACCCTCCCTCAGCCCATAGGCTTTTGCCCTCCAGTCATCCCTGATGGTCTCTCCCCAGTCCCTTCCAGCACACACTGGGCTTTCCTGGCGCTCACTTCTTGCCGCTGGGCTCCAGGGCACAGATGCGTGTGGGCTCCCGCGTGGGGGACAAATGCCCTTCGGGGTTGGGGCGTTGCCCGCACGTGGCCCCGCAGGGCGCTGGCACTGCCCTCCGCTCCGCACGCGCCGACCCCCATTCCGCTTGCCCGCAGACACGGCTCCTGGTCACTCACGGCATCAGCTACCTGCCTCACGTGGACGTCATCATCGTCATGAGCGGCGGCAAGATCTCGGAGATGGGCTCCTACCAGGAGCTGCTGGCGCGCGACGGGGCCTTCGCCGAGTTCCTGCGCACCTACGCCAGCGCCGAGCAGGAGCAGCATCCGCAGGACACAGGTAGGTCCGTGGCCCCGGGGGGCCGCCGCTCCCCAGGACTCTCCGGGAGGGCTGCGTCACCCCTTCGCGCTGCACTAAGGGTCCCTGGCTCACAGCCAGGCGGGCAGCCGTGGCCACGGTCCCCCTGCTCCAGCGATGTGGCTTTGGGCCTCTTGCGCTGCAGGCCCCTGAGACAGACAAATACAGGGACCGTGATAACTGTCGTCACCCTGGCTCCTGGCAGGTGATGAGGAGCCAGTGACAGATGTGGGGAGGCGGTGACAACCCAGAACAGTGTGGGAGTCCTGCGGCGAGGTTCCGCAAGGACTGGGCGAGGGGCAGGTTGGCAGGACCTGGGTTCAAAGCCCAGCTGCTGTCTTACCAGCACAGGTCCCCAGGCCCGCTGCAGACCCTCTGAGCCTCAGTTTCCTCACTGTAAAGCAGCGGATAACAGAACCGGCCTGCTGGCTCTAGGCGGATGTTCCGTGTGCTGAGTCACCGGAGCGCACCGTGTGGTGCCTGGCAGCTGCTGCGACAGCCCTGGGGAGCGGGGGCCCTGCACCCGCACCCCGGCTCGCTGTCTCCCAGCAGCCAGGCCAAGCCCGGCCGGCCCAGGGCTCTGGACCATCTTGGGGTTTCCCTTTGAGACCTGGGCAGCGACCTCACCTGGTGCCTGAAGCCAGTGTGGGGAGACTTCTCAGAATTCTGCCTCTCAACAGTGGTATAAAATTCAAGGGACTCACTAACAAGCTTCTCAGACTGCCTGGTGTTGTGCGGGTCAGAGGCACGTCTCGGATTCTGCCCGCCTCCCTCCCGAGAGCGCTGACCTCCATTAACATGCAGGGGGAGCGCACATCTGATGCCTTTTCTGCTTTAGTTTCAGCTGTTGCTAAAGAGCAGCACTAAGCAGGTCACCACCAGCCGTGGCCCTGCAGCTGATCACTGGCTCCCGGCGCCCTGGGGCTGACTGTCCCTCATCCAGCCCCCAGACACACTGTCCTGGGGTCTGCAGGGCCCAGGGGAGTCTCCCTGGGCAGGTCTGCCCTGGGCCCGCCTGTAAACGGAGTGCCAGAGTGCATGGCCTCTTGTCACCGGCTTCGCTGACGTGGCGGGCTTTTCCCAGGTCACGGGGCGGGTGGCGTGTGTCAGCGCTCCATTCCTCCCCGTGAGCTGTGTGCGGACACGCCACGTCCCGGTTACCCATCCGTGGGCCGAGGAGCGGCTGGGCTGTTTCCACCTCTTGGCGTTTTCTTTTGCCTCGGAGCCCCCTGGCCTCGACGCCCCCTGGCCTCAACCTGTCCACACGTCCGTGCTCTGGCATGTGCAGGGTGCTGCCTTGATTAAGTCCGGCCTGCTCGGGCTGCATCTTCTTTCCTTGGTCTCGAGTCCAGCCAAGGTCCCGTGACAGGTCAGGGCAACTCTGATCACTGTATTTCACCAGCCCTCTTGATTGACCATACCTGGATAAAAATAACCCTCTCTGCTCTCTGAATGGCTGTTACTCTTTCTCCCAGAACAAAGCCTCTCTCGTGCTCCCCTTTCTGGCCAGGTGAGCGGGGATCGTCCACAAACTCTATTGACCACAGGTGGGGTTTTACCTTTCCCTCCCTCCTCGTGGCACAGCCAGAGCAGTGTACGCAGGACGTGTGCGTGGTGGTATGAGTTCTCATCCACCACCCTGGCACCCCGTGGGCCTCCCCAGTTCAGCCATCTAGCCTCTGCCCGGCAGGACATAGAGCTCCTCGGCCCGGGAGTCTCAGGCCAAGCTCTCTCCTTCTGCCGCTCGGAGGGGCCCACGCGGAAGGCCTGGCACCAGGCCCTTGTCTGTTCAGCTGTAGGTCTGAAAGCGCCAGGGACCTTGAATTTGTTTTAACCACATGTTTGGCGCCTCCTAGAGGAAATTTCTGGCCTTGACCGATGGTTGGGGTCCTTCTTGGCACCCCCAGGCTGAAGCAGGAGAGAGGTTGGGGGAGAGGCATCTTTCTTGTAAGGGAAAGGGGAGACATCATGGGAGCTAAGCTTGAAATGGGGGAGGGTTACTGCCCCTCCCCCCAGGGATAGTCACTCTTAAGATTTCTAGGGATAGGAAGCTTTTTGTGGTGGCAAGGAACTTTACAAATTGACTCATCCAACATTTTGTAGGAAGCTAAACCCTAGATGCGCCTTTCAGCAGGGAATCTTTGCGCCCGGAGGTCGTTGGGCCACTTCTGGAGACGGTACTGCTGGGTGTCCGGGTGGGAGGTGATCGGAGACGCTGTTTCTACCCTGCCTTCCTTCCCCCCAGGAGCAGAGAAATGTCAGCTCACAAGGTCAGCAGGGCCCAGGGTGAGAACCCCGCGCGCTGGGACTCCGCCTGCCCGTGGTCCCCTTGTAACCTGGGGGACGACCTTTACGCTCGAGCCGTCATTCAACCTCAGGGCTAGTTTTTTTCCTTTTTTCAGTGCGTTGCCCATTTTTCTTTGCCAGTAGTTAAATCAGCAGGAGCTCATCGCAGACAGTTGCTAAGCGCAGGGAAGTGCGGAGAGCCAGGAGAAGGAACGTCCTTCCGTCCCCCCACGAACCCTGCCAGCCCGCGTGCGCACACATGCTCCCTGTGCGAGTTTGGCCTCTCTCCCGCCTCCCTCTCTTCCATTCCTTTCTGAATATGGGTCACAAGCACATTCCCACATTATGGAACCCCGCGTCAGCGCCGAGCGCTGCTGGAGAGGCGTCCTGCAGACAGCACATTCCTTTCGGCTGCCCTCAGTGGTCAGGCTTCTTCCTCTTTTGAGTATGAAGAACTTTCAGGTTGGGTGAGACAGCCGATCAATTCCGTTTTTGGTCAAAAAATGAGGCGTTGACTGTAGAGCAGCCTGTCTGCTGGCCCTCACCCAAGCAGAGTTCCAGAACCGTCTTGAAAAGAAGCAGGGAGCCTCTGGGTGCTGACGTGCCCCTCGCCGGCTGGTCGCCCAGCCAGGCAGCACTTCTGTGACTCGAGGCCGGCGTGGCTGCGGCTCGGCCTCAGCCCGCTCACCCACGGAGTGAGGCCGTTCGTCTCTTTGCTGCAAAGGAAAATTAATCTTTCATTGCATTTAGTGTTCCCCTCCCCACCTCTCACTGGCCTCCCCTTACCCAGCGTCACTTTCCCTTCCACAGTGACTGCTCCCTGGCAGGAAGCTCTGGGCCTGCTCCTCGGTTTATTGTCTCTCTCTCTCCCTCCCGCCTTGCGAGTTAGCTCAGAGGGGGGCACTTGCTCACCTCTGTGCCCCCAGTGCTGAGCACACTGCATGGCACAGATGGACACTCAGTAAACAGGCTGCGGCTCTTTGGGCCGCGCATGTGCAAGTCTGGGTGTTGGGCTCCTTGCGTGGCGCAAATCCCCCAGGCTGGGAGAAAACGTAGCCGACTTCTCTGCGGGCTGGTGAGAGACCAGCTCTGTGGTCTCTGTGGTAGGTGCCAGGATGCCCCCCGCTGGCAGTGGCCGGTCAGCTCGGGTTGTTTTCTGGGCTGTTCCCGCCTGGCAGGTGTGTCCCGAGCGCCTGAGTGTGCCTGGGACGCCTGGTAACTGAGCGGCAGCGTGCCCCTCTTGTGAACCCCACATGGCCAGCCGAGGCCCACATGCTAAAAATAGGGTGGTGGATAAGACCTGATCTCTGATCTTCAGAACTCAGTCTGATGGAGGAGAGACATGCGGTTATCAAGGACATCATGACATTGAACATCTTGGGGGGGGGGCTATGAGACCCCTGGAAAGGGGTGACATCCTGGGAGGCCCATGGTACCCCTAGCTGCACCAATTACCGTCTCTCCCCCTTTTCTGCAGTCCTTGTATCGTCGGCCTTTAGAGCTGAGCTCCATGGGGCCCAGCCCCTCTCGTGGGTAACATCTGTCCTTGAACCCGAGGCTACGGACTTGAGCTGAGGCCTGTGCTCCATCCCAGGGGCCCTGCCCACCCACAGTAATTCCTTGTTCCTTTTCTTCTACTGCCCTGGAAATGGGTGTCGAGACAGACCACAGATCTGCATTTTCCTAGCTCTGTTTATCTTCAAACACTTAAGAGTAGGCCCTCCCTGGTGGCGCAGCGGGTTAGGACGCAACACTGCAAGCTGGCCGCAGCCACTTCAGTGCGAATTTGATCCCCAACCCACAGGGCGCGGAAGCCCACTCCTGACCCGCCCCTGCCCCCCTCAGCAGTGTACTTTGTCAGTCTGCCTGTTCTGTACCCCACTCTGTCTCTGGTGAAACCTCTCACCACCCCTGCACCCCAGTTCGGTATGCATAAAAAAAAACTCATAAAAAAAAACACTTAAGTGTTATGACTTTCAGAGAAAAGGGCTGGTCTCACTCAGCATGCTTGCCAGGGATCCAGGAGCTGGATGGGGAAACTGAGGCACAGACACAGCAGGCCCCGTAACCATCCCTGTCCCTAACCCTAAGAGAAGACATCTGATCCATTCCCTTTGGGCATTAACTGGGGAGCTGGGAGGAGGGGTGTTTTGGCCTGACTCTGAACACACTGTTGGCTCTTGTGAATCCCCAGGTGGCAGAGTGGTGGACGAGGAGGAGGAAGGTCAGTGGCCCTGGGTTAGAGCTGGCTGCGCTTAGAGAATGAGGCTCTCGGCCTGGCCCTGCCGCGGCATGCCCGGGAGGGGCCTGGAGCGCCCGCCTTCCCGCTGCTTCCTTCAGTCAGCCAGCACCTAGGGGCACCTGCTCCGGGCCAGGCTGGACACCGCCAAGACCTGTGCAGGGTCGGGCACTGGATGGATGGAGCCCGCGTAGCAGGGGAGGCCTGAGACAGGTGTGGGCTGGCAGGTTCCAGCGCCTGAGGCTGCCTGTCTCCCTCCAGCCTCACAGCTGCAGCAGGTGGTGCCGGGGCCCCTCCGCTCCTGCCTGCCACACCCAGCAGTGTGTGGCAGGGGCGGCGGGGCCAGACAGGGCTCTTTGGGGGCCACAGAAGCCCACCTTGGCCACTGAGGCCACAAGGCTATTCCCCGGGAGGACACCAGGTAGCTCAGGAGTCGAAGGCAGACCTGGACGCGCAGAACTCAGGACAGGTGTCTCAGGGAGTCAGACTCCTTCAGGGCAGGCTGGTCCTTGTAGGGTCCAGAGGGAGGGGTGCTGAGGGCACCTTGGTCAGGTTTCCCCTTGGCTAAGGGAAACCGGGGCGCCTCGGCAGAAGCACTTGCCTAGACTGGGGAGAGGGTGCAGGCGCCACGTCCTCGCGTCGCCTCCGAGGACTCAACCTCTCCCCTTGCAGGGAAGAACTTTCCAGCTGCTGCAGTTGGCGCTCGGCCTGCCGTGGGCTGCTGGGCAGAGGAGAGAGGCAGCAGGAGGCCGCTGGGGGAGGGGGGGCGCCTGCCGAGCGAGCCGCAGGAGGGCTGGGCCCCCAGAGAGGCAGGGGCGCCCAGCTGGGCGCGCTCGCGGGACAGTTGTCTCGGGGAATGTTTTGAGCAGCAGAGAAGAGAAGGTCCAGGTCAGGTCGGCTCCCTGGTGCTGTGCGTGCGCATGAGCCTGGCTGCAGCGGCCTCACCCCTGCGCTCGCCAGGCTTAGTCCCTGCGTAGTCACCGACATTGGGATGCGAGTGGGCGTTACCGGGAGTGTTTTAACGGCGGCTCAGTCCTGGCTGCCCTCGCTCCCTCCTGTGAACGACGTCTGACGCGCACGTGGCGGTGGTGTCCCCCTGGCCCGCGTCCTTACTGGCCGCTGCCCACACCTCGCCCTGCTGCCCTGTCACGCCCATGTCGCGCCTTGAGTCCCAGAGAGGGGCGCCCCTCCCCGGGGGCACACAGCCGGAAGTTCAGGAACGGCTGCGTCCTGGTTCACAGCTGCGCACCCCAGCGCCGGCCGCTGCGCCCCCGCCCCGCCCCCCTTCTGTTCCTCCCGGGGTGCCTCCTTGGCTCGCGTGACCTGGTTCGTCAGCGTGTTCCCGGCCACCAGCTGTTCCCTGACTGTTCTCCTGGGGTCGCCCTCCAGAGCCTGCTCTGCTTCTCCTGAAGGCCAGCAGGGAGGACGTGAGGGCAGAGTGGACTAATGACAGTGTGTTCCTGAGTTGTTAAGGGGGACGCTAAAGCTGATAAAATACTTCAGCCCAGCCCAGCAGACGGCGCTCGATCAGTGCGGCCTTCGTGGTGGAGGCCTGGCGCTGGTGGGCGCCCGCTGGGCGGGGCGCAGGTACCGGCTGGCGTAGCCTCGTCTTTGAAATGTCGAAAGGTGTCTTTCTGGGACACAGCCGGCACCCCAGGGGCCCCCTCCCTGGGCCCTCAGGCACTCATGCGATCCAGCCACCTAAGGGTTAACCCAGGGCCCTGCTGGGAGCCTCTGAGACACCCCTGTTGGCTGATACCCTTGCAAAATTGGTTGTTCCTTATTTACTCTGGTATCATTCCCGCTTGGGGTGCCTGGGGGCCACCTGCCTTTCCCCTGCATGGTTCCTTGCACCCTGACCCTCGAGCCTGAGCTGGCGCCGCAGGCTGCCGGCACATGAGCTGGGTTGAGCTTCCGCAGCTGGCACAGCACACCTGCTCAGGCCCTGTGTTCTGCTGGCGGGGACGTCCCTTAACCAGGACGGGAGCTTGCCCAGAGAGCTGCACCCCAGCCCAAAGCCTTCGCATGGCCCCACAACTCTGGCCTTGCCGGTCTGAGCTTCCTGGCAGCCATGTTGCCTGCCGTCTCCTCCCAGAGTGACCACTACCCTCGTCTTGGCTTTGGTGTCTGGCTCTTGAAACCACGATTCCCCTTTCTCTCTCTGGCCGGGTCAGCAGGCCCCAGCGCTCCAGGGAAGGAGGCGAAGCAGATGGAGAATGGCATGCTGGTGACAGACACCTCCGGGAAGCAGCTGCAGAGGTAAGGGCAGGGAGGAGGCCTCAGGGTTCCCCAGGCTGTGCGTGTCCCCTGCCTGGGGGACCAGAGCGAGCACCAGACACCCGCAGGCCTGCAGCTCCCCAGGGTCACAGGTGGCACGGGCTCTCTGCCTCGCCCCTGGAGTCCTTGGGGACCTCACTTGGCAGAGCTGCTAGGCTGAAAGTGAGAGCCTGGCCCGTTCCCGCCAGGTGGCCCGTCTCACGCTGGCCTCAGGGTCAGCCCTCTGCCCGCATGCCGGGCTCTCCAGCTCCCTACACGGTGGGGATCTGCCCGGCCTCTCTCTCTCGCTGCCACACACACAGGATACACATGGGCACACGGACACATAGGAGCACGTGCACATGAAGGACACCGCACACGCGTGCGCGCGCACACACACACACACACTTTGTTGCTCCCACACTCACAAGTCCCCAGGGAAAGGGGCTTCCTGGAGATGTTTCCGTGCTGAGCGACAGGACATGTGCTTGTCTGTGACAGTGTCCGCAAGCTGGCGGCCAGGGCGGCAAGGAATGCTTCTCAGTCCCCCTGAAGGAGCAGCGCTCCTGCGGGCCCTGGGGCAGACCTCCCTCCCGGGTGGGCAGAGACGCACTGCCGGCTGCCCGGCTGCCTGGCGGGGCGCCCGCCTCCCCGGGGCGCCGCCTGACCCCGTGCGCCTGGCTTTCCCCAGACAGCTCAGCAACTCCTCCTCCTACAGCGGAGATGTCAGCCGGCACCACAACAGCACGTCCGAGCTGCAGAAGGCCGGGGCCAAGGAGGAGGAGACCTGGAAGCTGATGGAGGCGGACAAGGCCCAGACAGGCCAGGTGAGCCGCCCTCCTGTCCTCTGGCGCGCCCATCAAGGCCCCGTTGGAAATGCTGGAAGCCGAGGCCGGCGAGCCGGCGTGGCGCCCAGGAACGATGGGCCAGGGCTTGAGCCCAGGGGCGGGACCCCAGGCACGGCAGTCTGTTGGCATCCTGGGCACTGCTGGCGAGGGCCCCGCCACCTGGCATGGCTCCAGGCTGGCCTGGGCACGGGCTCCATGACAGCAAAGGCTCCGTTGGGAAGATTGCTTGCCACTTCTCAGCCCTCACGATGAGGTCGGTGGGCAGGTGGTCTCCATCCTGCCTGTCCCGGCCCTCCAGGCTGAGGCGCAGCACGTCTGCCGCCCGAGCTCTGACTTGGGAAGAACCTCCTCCCTCTCCGCTCCACGGGGCACAGGCCTCGCCGTTGCTGCTCCTGCCTCTGCAGACGCGGGTGGGCGGGCAGGTGTGGGCGGGGTTGGGCCCGGCGGGGCGTCCTGTACACCGCGTCCTCTCCCCTGGCGTCCAGGTCAAGCTGTCCGTGTACTGGGACTACATGAAGGCCATCGGACTCTTCATCTCCTTCCTCAGCATCTTCCTCTTCTTGTGCAACCACGTGGCCGCCCTGGCCTCCAACTACTGGCTCAGCCTCTGGACCGACGACCCCATCGTCAACGGGACGCAGCAGCACACTCGAGTCCGGCTGGGCGTGTTCGGAGCCCTGGGCATTTCGCAAGGTGAGGACCTCTCCTCCGTGGCCTCCCCGACCGCCTGATGGGGGCACTTGGAACGGCTTCGGGGTCTGCTGACCGACTTGGGTCTCCCCACTCGTCAGGGCTTTAGCGGTCCCCCAAACCAAGCCTACCCCACATGAATGGCACCCATGGTGTGGTAGACATTCAGGTGTGCAGAAGGAATACCGTGTTCCAGGTGGCTCCCAGAGGTAAGGGCGGGGAGCAGGGCCCAGTGCACCGTGCACAGGCGAGGAATGTTGAGGTGCAGGTCGCCTGGCATGTTAATGAGCAAGGACCCTCTGCTCTGTGGCTCCATCGGGTGACGGGGCTTCTGAGACATCTCTCTTGTGGGCTTCTCCCCGCTGTGTGAGTGGGACCACGTTGACCCTAGTAGGTCCAGTGCTGCCCCCAGGGCCATTTGGCAATGTCCGCAGGTGCTTTCGGTTATCACAAGCTCAGAGCAGAGGCGGGGGCTGCGGGCAGCTAGAGACTAGCTAGACATTCAGTGCTGCACAGCGCCACCCCACTGCAGCGGACAACCTCTGCGGCCTGCCATGCGCCCCGAAGCCCTCCCACGAGCCTTCAACTGAGGTGTCTGGGCACCAGCTTGGTTCTGAAACAGTTTCAGGGGTTTCAGATTTGCAACAACCGCAGGAGGTAGGAGATCGTGTTTGGCATATTTTAAAGGTACATTAACGAAAGCCCAGAGAGGTTAAGTAAAGTGCCCACCGCCACACAGCTTGCATGGCGGAGCTGACAGTCAGCGAGGCGGTCTGACTCGGGCCATGCGCTTCACCACCACGCGCCACAGGACGGGAGCTGCGTGTCCACGTGCCCCTGTGCCCCTGGCCCGCTCGCCTGCCCACACGTTCACGGCAGCTGGCATGTGCGCGGTGTGTCACTGTGTGCACTCAGCACTCGTGGGCGTTTCCTGCACCCAGCGTGTCGCCAGCAGGCTCTTTACCTCCAGCAGGGCTGCGAGGGGTGGTCCCCACTTTCCAGGGGGCGGTTTGGCGCCTGGCGGAAGGCCCGTTGCTGGTAAATGGCGGGAGCGGCAGTGCTGGTCCCAGCCTGTCTCTTCGGCCCCCGCCGCTGTGTTTCCTCCTTGATCAAGGCGCCTTTCACTGCCTGGGAAATCTCTTCTCTGCCGAGAGTGGGCGTCCACATGGGTCATTAGCAGACGCGCAGATGTCCCATGGTCTTCGGAGGGTGGCTTTGGGAAAAGAAAGCTGAGGGCAGACATGGATTTCCTGACTTTTTCAGCCTCACAAGCTCCCTGCTCGTAGGGCCAGGTACTGTGGCCTCTGAAGGATACGCGAAGGTGGGGGTGTCCAGAAAGGGTGTGATGGTCACCGGGGCCCCACAGCGGTGGGGTCTGTTCTAGAGCACAGCTGTGCTGTCCAGTATGGTGGCCACTAGCCAGCGGTGGCCATTGGAATTAGATAAGCCGCTGCTTATTGAAGCGGTGACTCAGCGGCGCGC